GCTGAGGGGTTGGGCGTGGTGGGTGGGTGGGTGGATGGGGTCGAGGGGTTGGTCAGCAACGGGGTGTGTAGCGGGGCCCTTTGAGCAGTTTCCTGAGGATAGGCAGACGCCTTGCTGCACAGCTGTGTGGTTGCATCCAAAGGATGCACTCCTTGGATCCTGCTGATTGGATCGTGCTGCTGCCTGCCAAGCTGGACCCCTCAGGAACCGGCCAGGCCCGTCCCACTGCAAGGGGATGCCGAGGTGGCGCTGGCGAGCCCGCTAGGCACTGCTCGCTGCGACCAGCGGGCCAGACTAGTGCCTCGCCAGCAGGCCGGCCACCAGCGACGGCTGCCAAACGCCTGCAACCTGGCAGAGCCGCTGCTTGCCAAAGCACCCATGCACCAGCCGTGTTAGTTTGCCTCGATCACCCGCCTCCAGAATTGCAGCGACTAAAAGCAACATAGGTGATAAGAATGCCACAGCAACAGAGAACTCCCCATGCGGGCATGGACCACTCTCCCCATCCGCCAACCGCCACCCCAACCGCCACTGTGTGCCTTCAACCGCCGCGGCCGCTTCATGACCCCGCGCCCAAGCTGCGCGCGAGCGCGCCAGGCGCCTCACCGAAGACATGAACTTGAAGGCGAGCATGACGTTTGCGTTGTTGCGCGTCACCATGAGCACATACAGGTCGTTGTGACGCAGGTACATGAAGGTCACAGACCCCAGCGTCCTGACGGGCGTCTGTATGCTGGCCGCCTCCTTGTTGTTCAGGATCTGCGCCCGGAAGTTGTCCGCCATGTCCCGCCTGCGGGGGGCGCGGCGATTGCTGGGCCGAGCACGCGGCTGCACAGGCCGGGTTCGCAGGCTCGGCGGGAGGTCGTGCAGTGCGAGTGGGCAGCGGCCTGGGCGGGCGCTGACCCGCAGCGCGCGCTCACTCGACATCGTCACGGTAGCGCCGCTCTATCAAGACGTCTCCTCTAAGGTTCATAAAATATATTGCTGAACACGCGTGCGCCATGGCTGCTCTGTTCGCCAGGCCCCCCTGAAGAGGGCCTGTTGCACGTGAGCGAACAAGGTGAGAAATCTATCGAGCTGTGTTCGAGACAAATAATCAATCAGTGTGAGGTCCACGGCGATCGGTGATCACAAGATGCGATCTGCCTTGATGACTATGGAGGATGCTTTCTGTATCTAGAATGTATGCTGGCTGAAGAATTTGGGCATAGGAGTACTGTATCGAAGAGGCAGGCCACGGTATGCGCTGCAGCCCTCTATGACACACCTTTCACTGCACGCGGCGGTGCCTGCCTCGGTTGGGTGCGATGCCCGTGACAGCGCCGGGACCAGAGCACGCTGCTCGGGCGACCGACCAACATCGAATCACCTGAATTTCATGTCTATCAATCCATTTTCAGCCGGCCCCGATCGGTTTGGATCCTCTATATCTGCCGTGTATCTGCGTACAATACCCTAGTGGGTTGCGCCAGAGAAAATGCAGCCCCCACATGGCCAAGTGAGCGCAGCTTCTGCAGCTTCGGCACCGCAGCCATGGCGTCGCACGGCCGCAAGCCACCAAGGATTGCAGGGACGGTTACACGGCAGCGCACGCGCCACGGCACACGCGAGTTGCTCGCGCCACCGCGGCGGCGCGAGGCCTCGCGGCGCCGTCTGAACCGCAAGAAAGCGGCGTGGCGGGTGCGCTGGGCACTGCACACGCGCCCGAGGCGGTCAGGTATCAGGGATGGGGTGGTGACTGGCTGCAAGGCCGCCAGACGGTGATGAGTGAGGGTGAGCGGAGCCGAAACCACACAAACATGCGCCGCGCACGGCTGCGGGCCAGGCGCCCGCCAAAGCGCCGGCGGGGGGCATGGCCGCGGCCTGCGCGGGGCGCCAGGGGTGCGGCGAGGACCAGTAAACCACAAACAAGATGGAGAGCGCACGTGCCACAAGCGCTTCGGCAGCACGCTGTGCACGCTGCGCGTTGCATGCCTTTTTCGTCGCGCCATGCGCAAAGGGGTCAGGTCAGTCGAGGAAGAGCGGTGCCGCAACCAAACGGGAGCCACCAAAAAGCACGTCAGAGCCAGAGCAGGCAGAGGGGGCCCGCTGCGGAGGGTGCGCGCGGCGAGGTATACGGCCTGCAGCTGCGTCCTGTCGCAGCTGACTGGACACACGGACGCCGCGCGTTGCCTCGCTGCAGCGTCCAGAGCTCCCAGCTGCGCCGGCGCGGCCGTCATCACCCCCAGCAAGCATGGCTGTGCCCTGCTGCTCAATCGGATCCGGCCCGAAAAGGAAAACCCGCCGCCATCATCAAACATACGTCAAGGCGCCTACCAAGGCGCCGCCAGCACCAGCAAGAAACGGGCAGGCGCAGCACTGCACGCGCCCCCGCGCGGAGCGCAGCAAGGGGCGCGGCCGGCGCGCGCCGCCCGATTAGCTGCGCATGGCTCTGGCGGCGCCCGGGCCGCGCCCGCCGCGGGGCGTGTCTCACGCCTAGCGCCGTGAACTCACGCCCCCACGACCGAGAACTCGCACATGAGGCTGATGTGGTCGGACGACCAGTTGGCGTTGGGCAGGCCCTCCCCAGGGCGCGCGCCGACCTCCGCCTCCGAGGGCAGCTCCAGCAGCGCGCGCGGCTGCAGGCTGTCGCGGGTGTAGAGGATGTAATCCAGGGTGCCCTTGTAGTCCCTGGGGTGACGCGGTGACGCGGTGACGCGGGGCGGGGGGAGGTGGGGGTCGTGCCCTTTGGTCACTGGGGGTGTATGTATGTGGTGAGGGGGCGCTAGGTTGCATTACGGGTGGTGTGGAGGGGCCGCGTAGAGAAGGGTGTGGCGAGCGGGCAAGCCGTGAGGAGGGGTGCGGCGATGGAAGCGTGGTGGTGCTGTGAGTGCATATGGAGACATGGAAGGTTTGCAAGAGCCATGCCTGAATGCTTCGGCAGGACCGCTCCTCCTAAGCGTGAATGCCTGGTGGGAGGCCGGCCGGCCTGCGCCGGCCCCGCGCGCCCCCGTCTAACAACAACGCGACCCCATGTGCGCGCCGCCAACGCGCCCTGCAAACGCCCCACCTGCTGAGGTTGGTGAACGCTGGCTCGTGGTGCGCCGCATCGAGCCGCGCGCGCTGCCGCTTGAGCGCCTCGCTGGTGGGGGGGTGGTCCCACAGCGCCGCATAGGCGCTTGCCAGGGGCAGGGCGTGCTGCAGCTTCTGGTCGCGCAGCAGGTGGAGGGGGTCCATGGAGGGGTCCTGGGG